CAGCTCAGGAGTCAACACTCTGAGGAGGCCCCCACCTCCGACCTTGTGCTCTCAGGGCCCCTGTACCTGTCCCCACCCTGGACTTGGCACATGGGGCCATGATGTCTCCTTAGTGGCCTCCTTCCCACCAGATAGGGGACAACTCACGAGCAGGGTGGGGCCTCCTCACTGGAGACCCCAGGACTCTGCACGGCTCTGGCTCAGAGAAAGTGGTGGTGCACAGGCATGGGCAAATGACTGCAAGCAGCCTCCTGCTGCACGAGAACTTCACCGAGGTATGAGCTGGGAGTGCAGCGTTCCATGAGCTCCGGCAACTCATTTCATGTCTTCATTCCTCAGTTTCTGTCTCTGTGCAATGATGCCAGTGCTACCCACTGTGCCTGGTTCAACTGGGAACTTTTTAAGATTTTCTTAGTACAACTGTTAAGTAGAGGGGCTGTTTTATTAAAAGATACTCAGTCGGCATGAATCCACCATTGAACTGAAGAACCTCCGAGGTTCTAGGCATAGACATCCATTAGCTTTCCCTCTATACACATGTACGGAGCTCATGCTGCAGCTGGCTAGGCAAGCCCTCTCTTCCTGAGGGCCCACAAAGAAAGCCATGTTCAGGTCCAGGTGGAACCATCTCATGCCTGTCTGCCTGGAGCGTGAACCAGTGAGGCTTCCCCGAGCTCCCCCTGTGGAGTTTCCATGGGAATCCTCCCACACGTAGCTGAGCCAGAAACCCTTCCTCCCTTTCCCCTCCCCTCCTCCCCCGCTGCCCCAAGGTGGGATCTCTGGTCGTCAGCCAGTGAAAAGAGCAGGGGATGGAATGAAGAAGTCTTGCTGGGTGGTGACTGGGCCAGCACCTCTGCAAAGTCATTTGAAAGAGACATACCTCCCAGGCAGCAAGGCCAGGGGCCCTATTTGCACATACAGGCCTGGCAGGCCTGGTCACCACTGCAGCTGTCCCTAGGCCCAGACTGCTTCAGGCACTGGGAGTTGTTCTGTGGGACAGCTGGCTTCGGTGAGGCCCAGCATGGCTCAGGCTGGGGCAAGGCTGGGAGAAAGAGGATGGGGGAGGGTGCTGCATAATGGGACCCTCTTGGGAAAACATATATAAAGAAAGCACAATAATCTTCATGTCCCGCCCTCAGTTAGCTCCCAAGCTGAACTTTGTCCATTGGTATCACTGGTTAACTGTTCACACCTCAGACTTGATCTTGGAAATCATTAATAGGGACCTGCTAGGATTTCTGAACCTTCCTTTGTTAAACCTGAGGTGTCTCTGGGAGAATTTTTGAGACAAGAGGTGAGGGATGAGGGAGGAAGAGAGGGAGAGGGGATGATGAGGAAGCAGGGACACAGAGACCCAGAGAGAAAGAAGGGAAAGAGGGCCAGGTGGGAGGGAGCCAGTCAGCCCCAAGAACCAGCGTGACTTGCATCTCACAGCATGTGGCTGACAGGTGAAATGTCTCTGGGGCTTAGGTGACTGGAACAAGCCCTACTCCCTTCTGGAGAAGGCAGAGCTCAGGGTTCACAACCATGATGATATTTCACAGCACAAAATGCCAGGTGGGTAGCTTTGGAGCTGCTCCGGGCCTCTGCCTACACCAGCATATGCAGGTGCAGCCAACTCCTGGCTCCAGAACCCACCTTGTCTGCCTCATCACCCCCCAGGTCGCATCTTCTGCTCCTGCTCCTCACTCTCTCCATGTGTCTTCTTTTATTTCCAGCCCTGTGCGGATTCTTCCAAACTGGGTGTCCAGTCCTGCCTTCTCTCCTCAGCACCAAACCCACCTATCTGGAAGCCTCTGACCACCCCAGACTAGGTGTTCCTCTGAACAGCCTTGTAAAGCCAGATGGCCTCTTTCCACCACAGCCTCCTTCTGTGGGCATGTCCACCCTCTCCAGAGGCCCTATTTGCATTTCCAGACATCAGATATCTGGAAGTTCACTGGCACCTCAGAATCTACACATCCAAAGCTGAACTCAGCTTCTTCCCTCTCTGGCATACCAGGTTCCTCTCTGCATGCCTTGCTTCTGCTGGGGATCCCCCTGTCTCTCCATCTCCCTCACTCAATGCCTTCAGTGCTCTGAAGTACTGCCCAGATTACTGCAGTAATCTTCTAAAAGGGCTCCCTGACTTAAGACTGTGTCCCCCAACCCACCCTCCACATTTATGAATTTGTCTTTAAAAATGACTATGAAGCAAAGATTTGTGGTAACTTTCTCCAGGTCCCACCACCCATCCTGATTTTCCATATCAAGTGACCTGTTCTCACTTGGGGGGAGCAGGGGGTTGCCGGAGACCCTTCATTTCTGTACCAACAGAGAAGGGACCTTTCAAGAGCCTGGCTAGGTGACAACAGGCAGGCAACTCAGGGAAAGTTAAGTAGCCCCGGCATGGTGAGTACTGGGTCTTTTCCTAAGTGGTGAGGAACTCTGCCCTGGCTCAGGGCTTGGACACTTCCTGGGATAGGAGTGAAGACCCCCAGGGAGAGGCCTCCTATGAGGAGGTGGAGTCAGTCTTAAGGAAAGACAGGGGGAAAAGTAGTCTAGGAAGAGAAATAGCAAATAAAGAAGACCGTGGAGTGCTGGAGCAAAAGGCCAGGGAGGGGAAAGTAATAAGAGAGGAAAATGGTGAGAAAGGAGTGGGGGGCACAGAAACCAGGACTGGAGGGCCTTGGCGGTGTCTAGATTTTATTCCATGGAGTCCTGAGGTCGTTCTAAGAAAGGAAGGGTCTTGATCTACTTATATTTTTTAAAGATGTTCCTGAAAAATGCTTATTACTCTTTGCTAATCCAGTACATGAAAAATTGTATATTATTGTAGTTATAACTTGCATTTTTCTTATTGAGTGACATAGAGTGTCTTGTCACATGTTTAAGTGTTATTTTGATTTTATTTTGTGTATATGAACTGTTTATGGTCTCTGTCCGTTCTTGGTCTTTGCTCGCTAACTTGAGGAAACTTTTTAAAAACATTTTTTCATCAAAGTATCATTGATATACAATCTTATGATGGTTTCTCATAAATAACACAGTGGTTTCAACATTCACCCATATTATCAAGTCCTCATACCCTCTATTGTGGTCACTGTTGAGCAACCTTTTACACATTGAAGAGATGAGTCTTTGTGATAGGAGCTGCAATTCTTCCCCAACTTGTCATCTGTCTTTTGGCTCTTTGTGGGGTGTCTTTTCCCTGAAGATTTTCCTTTTATATAATTGGCATATATGTAATTTATATAATTATATATAATTGATTTATATCATTTCAGATAATTATCAATCTTTGAAACAAAATAGAAATAGACACCAGAGAGATATTTGAGTGCAATGGCTGGCAAGTTAGATATTGTTTGCTGTTTGCCAAAGATAGCTTAAATTCCTTTATTACTACTTTTTATGGGAGTAACAAATGGAATTAATCAGAAGGTACGTCTCAGAGGAATATGTTCTTATATAAAGAACGTTTGTATTATGCTACTGACACTCTTCCTACCAACTCTGTTAATCGGGAGCACTTTTGAAAAAATGAAGGTCGTAGGGGATGCGGAGGGATTTGCCATCAGCCTGAGTGCTGATCGGGACAGAGGTGCCAACGTGGGGGAACAGTGACGGAGAGACTGGGTGAGACACAGTGTACTGATTTTCTCTTTCCCCGGTGCAGTTACCTGGGGAAGAGGGCGGGCAGATTTTCCTTTTAAGAGCGTTTCCCTGAGGCTCAGGCACAACATTTCACTTCTTCCTGATTTGGGCTCATCAGATTGCATGGAACAGAAGGTGCGTGGAAGAATGGAGGCTCCGAATCCGAGAGAGGAGAGAACTCCTACCTTCATCCTCATAACTTCCCCAGGAGAACTGGACAGGCTTGGAAACTGAGGTGAGAGGTTAGAGTACTTGCCCAAGGTCACACCGCGGGATGCAGGTGGAGGCGGATTCGAACTCAGGCCCGAATCCAGAGCCTAGAGGTCTCCACCTCTTCTGGACAGCGGTGCGGAAGTGCCCTCCTCTCCCTCCCAGTCCACAGCAGCCCAAGCGCGGCCCTCCGGGAGGCGGGAGCAGCCACTCTCTCCGCTTCTCCAGCCAGGGAGGGGTCCTGCTCTCGGCGTCCTCTCCTGGCTCGCAGCCGGTGGCGCGTCTTGCGCTTCCCGGGCAGACACATTTGCCCGCGCTCCAGACTCTGGCCTCCTCCCTCCTTCCCGGAGCTCCCACCCGCTCGCCACCCGCTTCCCTTCCTGAGCACCGCTAAGTTTCACTTCAAGCAAGGCCACGAACTAACTGGCCCCTAGCAGCGCTCGGACGGGGCGACCAGCCTCCCTAGCCCAGCGTCGGGGGTAACCGGTAACCACTTCAGCAGAGCCAACTTGCGTTGCAGGCACTTGAATTCCACCGCTCCGAATACCCCCACCCCTGACGAACAGACCTCCAAAATTTACTTCTCCCATTATAGATACAGATGAGGTTGCTGCTGAAGAGCCGGAAACTTGGATGACATGCTTGGACTCACATAGCTAATAATACCAGGTAACATTTGATCGAGTTTTTCCTATGTGGCAGGCACGGGTCTACGCACGTTACAAGCACCACCCCATAGATCCTACCTATGAAACGCGTACCATTACCATCCCCATCCTACGGATGAGGAAACCGAGGTTTGGCGCCTTGCCCAAGGTCACCCAGCCAGGGAATGACGTATCTTAGACCCAAACCCAGTCCGTGTTTTAGGGGAGGCGGGGGGAGAGTGGAGGGCAGGGTTTTGTGCGGTCTCCGTTACGCAGAGAAGCAGTAGCTTTGAAACTAAGGCACCAGGGGCCGTTCCCAAACGCCCCAATGCTGTGAGCAAACCGCCCAGCTGGGACTGCCACGGCAGGCAGACAGGAATTCCCAGGGACCCGGACGGGACCCACGCCAGGAGCGCCGGCGGCGGCGAGTATCCGCCCGCACGCGGTCCGCGCGGCCAGCTCTCAGCTCCCGGCTCCGCGCCTCGCCAGGCGCTGGATAATACTCACCATAAACGGGAGGGCGAGCGCCTGCCCCGGAGGAAGAGCCTGCGCTGGCAGGTCCTGGACTTCTCGGAGAGGCGTCTGTCACTCAGGGGCGCCCGCGCGACCCCCGGAGATGCTGGCTTGCTCCCCGGCGCCAGGGGCGCGCCCGGCAGGGTGGCCTAGAGTTGGAGCGTTGTTGGGGAAGTTGGCGCTCCGGCGCGGCGGGAGGGCGCAGGAGGTCGGGTGGGAGTGGGGAGGCGCCTTCCTGCGCGGATCCCGGGGGCGCGCCAAGGCCCGAGCTCCAGCGGTTCCGAAGCTCCGCGCCCGACCCGGAGGGCGCCGAGTCCAGAGCTCAGGGCTCACGGGCCGCGCCTCGGCCGCCGGCTACTGGGGCGCCCTGCCTCTTCCCCCGCGCTCTGAGTGCATGCAGCGGTGGCTGGCGCTGGAGGCCGGGCCGGGGCTGCGGTGCTCCCATCTCCCTCCCCAGGGGCCGGGAGCCTTTGTGCGCGGGGCACGCCGGCCGCCGCGGCCAGCTCTGGATGCTGCAGCCGCCACCTCCCCCCGCCCTCCGCCGCCGCCGCCGCCGCCGCCGCTGCTGCCCGCTCTCCGTTCTCTCTGCCGGCCGGGAGGCTGCAGCTGAAAGCCGATCCGGCTGAGCTCATCCCAGAAGGCCACTAATCCAATAGCCGCGGAAGGCGCGGCCGCCGGGAACGCCCCTTCCCCCACCATCCCGCGCCCCGGCCCGTCCCAGCTCCGGCCGCTGCCGGCGCCGCCACCTTCCCGAGGCCACCAGCTGGCGGGAGAGGGAAGTGGAGCCCGCGCCCGCGCCCCAGGGCCGAGTCGGCGCGGTCACCGCGGTCGCCATTCACCCACCCGCTTGCCCGCGCACTCCCTCTGTCACGTACTCATTCATGCGCGCGGGCCCTCCCCCATTCATTCATGTGCCCCGGGAGCGCCGGGGTGGGTGTCCCGAGGGGGAGGAGACACCCCCAGTCACTCGGCAGCTATGGTGTCTTTACGCAACTCACGTGGGAAATAGCTGCCCGGGAAAGAGGATGGTTTAATAGCCTCTTCCTCAGACACGTGTCCACACTTTATTTTTTAAGATAAGGCTCCAAGTCCTCTTTTTAAGTCCAATTTCACACCACACCTGCTTCACGGAGCCTTCCCCGCACACCCGAGGCTCAGGAAGGTAGTCTCGGCTCTGCTGGCTACCGGCGCCGACGGTGGGCGCGTCACTGCGAGCCTGAGCCGAGAGATGAGGAAGAGGGCGTGGCCAGGGAGGAGGCTTAGGGTACTTCTGGCGTCTGCGCCTCCTTGGGGAAACTCAAAGTTCCTGGTCTGCATCTCCCGTCTGTGCGCCCAGAGTTGGCTTCAGTTCCATCCCACGGTAACCTGGGCTGTCTCCAGCCCTCGGTGTGCCAGGCCCCATTGCGCTTGGATGTGGAGCGCCCCTTTCATCAGGGATGCAGCCAAGTACAGCCAATCCAACCCAGTGAGGGAAATGTTTTGATGGAGGCCCTGCAGCTCCCTTCCCACAACGGCAAGCTGCCTGGGAATGTCTCCTCATGGAGGTGGCTACACGAATTTAGCTCTGGAGGCCGGGGAACAGGATGGTCACCTGGCTACCACAGCACAGAGTCCACGGTGTGAATGCAGTGTGAGCAGGTGTAAGATGAATTGGAGGGACAGACAAGTGGCTGAGGTCTAGGGGGGCCATCCAAAAGTTTGACCTTTCCTTGAGATCAGTTAGTAGGGAACCCTTTCACCGTGATAGTAATGGTCAGATTTGCATTCTAGAAAGAGCTCTCAGCAGCAGAGTGGACGGATGGAGAAGACCAGCTTGGAAGCCGCAGAGACAGTCCAAGCAGGCGATGATGCTTTGTGAACCAGGAAAGCCATGATGGGATGGCAAAAGGGCACATTGATCAAGTACTTACTGTAATGATTTTATTGCATTTCTTATTGCCAGTTTGTATGTCTGTCTCCCTCCTAACCCCCCAGAAAGCAAGTATCTGCATTATGCATCTCTGAATCGATCCCCTGTGCCAAACACAGAATAGATGTTGAGTAAATGTGATTTGAATTGACCTACATGGCAGTTCTGACCTACCTGCACACTTACTGTATTTCCAGGGACCCTCAGTGCTTCCTACCTATGTCAGGAGAACCCTGGAGCCCCTATTCTGTGAGGTGTGGTGAGGGCTCTGGACATGGTTGGCAAGAAAGAAAAGAAAATTTGAGGAAAGATGGGCGAGCAATGGCTACAATTTTTAAATTTTTTTTATTAAGGTATTATTGATATGTATTAATTGGTTTGATTAATGATATGATTAAGGTATTATTGATTATGAAGGTTTCATACGAAAAAACAATGTGGTTACTACATTTACCCATATTATCAAGTTCCCACCCATACCCCAATGCAGGCATTGTCCATCAGTGTAGCAAAATGGCAATGGCTACAGTTTGAGAAACGAACTCCTCCCTCATCTGGGGCCTCCAGAGCCTTCCAAATGAGACTTTGCTTCAGGCGCAAAAAAGTGGCCACAACAGCACCCTGAGGGTCCCTCTAGGCCCCAGAATACTCCAGCCTCTGGATATCAGTGGAAGCAACCTTCCATTTCTGGAGAAGCCAGGATAGCCAGGCTGTTAGAACTCTTCAGGTTGAGATGAGCAGCCTCTCAGGTGGCCCCCAGTGCCCCTGCCTGATGGTATTCACACCTTGTGTAACTCCTCCTCTGAGGTGTGGTCTGGCCTTATTGACTTGTTTCTCATAAGTAGAATATAGTAGAAGGGCCGGGATGTCCCTGCCGAGATTAGGCTATAGAAGGGCTGTGGCTTCTGTTTTGAGCATGAACACACACACACACTCTCTCTCTCTCTCTCAGCCTCTCTCTTGCTCTCTTTGGGATTGCTTCACCCAGAGAAGCCAGCTGCCATGTCCTGAGGCAGCCCTGTGGAGAGGCCCATGTGGAGACAGGCTGAGGCCTGCTAACAACCATTTGAGTGAACTTGGAAGCAAATGCCCAGCTGCCACCTCCACCCCCAGCTGAGCCTTCAGAAGTGACTACAGCCTGGTCTGACACTTTGACTGCAATTTCATGAGAGAGACCTTCAATCAGACACTTAGCTTCACTGTGCCCAGATTCCTGACCCACAGAAACTCTAACAGAATAGATGTTTGTTGTAAGCTGCTAAATTCTGGGGTAACTTGTTGCACAGCAACAGATAACTAATACAAGATATTCTTAACTGTCTAATGGTGATTAAAAAAATAAACCTTTGCAAATCAACAATTAATGCATGCTTTACATTTCCTTAATTTTGATCTTTTAAAGGGTGTCAGATGATCAGCTCTGGAAGTACATTTTTCTGATAATATTTCTTTCTCTTAAAAAAAAAAAAGCAGTTCCTGTGTGGTGGTCTCCAATAGGTTCTTCACAATGGTATAAAGGTCATATCAAAATGTGGGCAAAGGGTTTGTTTGTGTTTATACAGAGGATCAAAGCCTAATTTGGCTACCCAGAAAACAAATTACGATATGATCTGAAGAAGAACTTCCAACATCAACATCCTCTGGAAGAGTCACTCCAGAAGATGATCACCAAAAAACTTCAACAAAGATCCTGGCGCTGTTGCAGTTGTAGCTGCATTCATCCCACCGGTTCCTGGACTTGCCATTGGAATGAAGAAGGAGATATCTAAGCTGGCCTGTGCATACAGTAAAACAACAAATTTGACTGGATCTCTACTGTCAGAACTCAACCAAGAATTAGGAGAAGTGCAAGTTGCAGTGCTCCAAAATCGTGCGACTATAGACTATCTACTGTTAAAAGAACATATGGGATGTGAACAGTTCCCAGGAATGTGTTGTTTTAATTTGTCTGATTTTTCTCAAACTATTCAAATTCAGTTAGACAATATCCATCATATTATTGATAAGTTTTCACAAATGCCTAGGGTACCTAACTGGTTTTCTTGGTTTCACTGGATGTGACTGGTAATTGTAGGTCTGCTTT